TTTTAATTGCTATGGGAAATTTCACAGTTGCTGGGTGACTTTTTTCAATTTCCTATGAATGAGTTCTGAACAAAGAGAGGATTTTACTAATTTACCTAGAATTTGATTGAAAGCAAACACATTGGGGGTTCAGTGACAAAGACAAACACGATACGACCTCCTTTCTTTAGGGGCTCACAAACCGGTAAGGGAGTCAGACACACACATACATGACTCTAATCAAGACTAATTCTCATAAATATAATTTAAAAATAGAGAAGCAAGAGAAAGAAGAGAAAAAGAAGAGAAAAAAATTAAGAATGTGAACAGAAGGATAAAGAGGGAAGGAAGAGGAGAGATAAGGCAAAGGTATGTTGATATTCAATGGGATTGTTGATATTTTGTGACTGCAAGAGGGTTTGCAACATTTTGAAGGTGGAGACTGAGGGGTTGGGAGCAGATGAGGTCTTAGTTCTGTTGAAATAACTTCCTAGACCCAAGATGGAGCTGCTCCTGCCCAGGTGCCACGTCAGCAAACGAAACTTAGAAGACTTTTGTGTCCCTGTAAAGGCTTCTCTTTACCAGGAGCACAGTGTATCCAGTCAGCCAGTCCCCAAACGCCAAGCCAGCTCTGGGCTCTACGCTTGTTTCTTTGTTCCTTCTTATCCCACACGGGGTGGACCACGTGGCTCCAACCAATCAGACATTTGCTACTTTTCTCGTCCTTGTTCTTTATTCTTATCCTATGAAAGCTTCCTGCCGTCCCCCTACTTTGCAGCTCTCCAAATGGAGACTATCCACTTCATAAAGTGTTAAATAAAGTTTGTCTGTATCACCTAAATTGTCTTCATTTCTTTTTAACATTTCCCTCATTAGGAGTAGGCCCTGCTTTTGGAGAAAAGCATTGTTAGTAAGTACAAAAAAGAAATTTTTTGGTAACTTATACTTGACTTTCTTCATTATTTTAAGTGCCTTTTCATATTCCCACTGTATTCACTTGACTTAAAAGCAAATGAAAGACTTTTTGAGTATGAAAAGAGAAAAGTAACTAAGAATTGGGCAAGGACAACTAACTGAAGAGAGACTACGTAATTAGTTACAACCAACAAACTGTTTTCTTCTCCACGCTTCTCTCATCACACACACACAAGACCATAGAGCAGGGTCTTCATTTTTATATACAATTATGGTGTGAAGAATACTGTTCCCTGTAGTGAAGTATTTTTAAAAATGTGTATGTGCATTTAATTTCAGTAGCCACGAATGAAAAACTACAGTTACTTGAGGGTTGGGATAACATATCTACATAACTGTAGAGACACAAACACAGCATTTGGAAACAGCTAGAACTGTAAGAGATGATCTTCTTAGAGCCTTATTTTACAGATGAGAGAACAGGACTAAGCAAGTTAAGGTCTGAGTCAAACTCGAGTTTTTGAACACCCAGGCCAGGGCCTATTTCTAATCTATCACATTCTCTGAGCAAAGGTCACTGGTAACCACAGTATGTTGTTTGACCTCAGATATTTGTAGATACTTCACATTCCAAGCAGCTTAACTTCTTTTGTGATTTACAGAATAATGCTCCTAACACAATGAGAACTTAATAAAACAGCATGAATTCCTCAGAGAATAGTGTAAATATTGATCGTTTGTGGATTTATTATGAGTTAGCCACACAGAATGACTTTGATTAAAAGGAAACATAAGGTTTAAACGCCATAAATTAAAAACTCAGGCACCAATATTAAAGACTGAGGAGAATACGAATAATACAATGAACTGAGGATTAAAATGCACTCAGATCTCTGAGCACTGAGGTGCCTCAGGTTAACAGTTGGTGCGCCTCCAGATCCCCTTAGATCATCCCTACCTGTTCCTGCTCCCACACCCCAGCTTCTGTGTGTTTTGCTTTTTTTTTTTGTGAGGAGGATTAGCCCTGAGCTAACATCCATGCCAATCCTCCTCTTTTTTGCTGAGGAAGACTGGCCCTGGGCTAACATCCGTGCCCATCTTCCCCTACTTTATATGGGACGCCGCCACAGCATGGCTTAACAAGCAATGTGTCAGTGCGCGCCCGGGATCCGAACCTGCGAACCCCGGGCCGCCGCAGCGGAGCGCACGCCCTTAACCGCTGCGCCACCCGGCCGGCCCCCTGTGTGTTTTGCTTTTGAAGGCTTGTACCTGCCACCTTCTTTAGAGATCTCAACTTGGGCCACAGGAGCTACTACAGAGCACCAGAGTGCCTATGACTGTTGTCTGCAAGCCACACATACGTCTCCATTAGGGCTTGGAGCCGATGACCAGCTGGAGCCAGAACACAGAGGCTCAGCTTCTTTGTCTCCACAGGGTGAACTCTGAGACGTCATTTAGACTCCAGGGCTCCCCTTGGCCACTCTGAGTTTGATTAGCATCTTCCTTCATAGTCCTGCGTCCCCCATTCTCTTACTAGCTCTCCTGGGAGCTTTCTTAAATAATCGCACACAAATTCCTGTCTCAGGACCTGCTTTTGGGCAACTAGATCTAAGACAACTACCAAAGCTACTTAGGATCCATCCATCTAACCATTCATCCATATTTGCCTATTCTTGCTACCTCCCTCTCTCCTCCTTGCCTCCATCCATGTACCTCTGTCCCCCATCCCACTCCAATCCAATAGGCAACACTTGAAACAGCATGGTGTGCACTCTATTCCAGTCTACATTTCTCTATACTTATATAATCGTACACAAATATACACATATGGGGGAATATCTGTATTCCAAAACCAGGATCTTTTGTACATCTAGTCCTTTGTATCTTGCTTTCCTTACTGAACAATATTTAGGTTTCTAATAAAGAAGGAAATTCGCACTTTCAACTAAAAGTTCTACTGTAAGTTTCCATAGTTATAAGTTCTATAAAAATATTTGCTTGGAAGAAGAAACCGTGTTACAGATGCAGATACGTAAAGTGTATAGTCAGAATTTGAAGTCACAGTTGGGAAAAGTTTTAATGGTGTCAATCACTTTGTGCTCTCTCTGAAAGGTTTGATATTCTAACACCTTTGACTCATTGACTATACACTGTGTATATATGTACAAAAAGATAATGATTTTTATTTAGTTTGCACGCTATTCTCGTGTTACTGTGTTCTGATTCTATATTGCATTATATTATATGCCAAATATTCCCCTAATGTTTTCTTAAATGATGTTTAATACTGATTTAGTGTGCTTTTCATCTTTAGGTCTGTCCACAGTTAATCTTTACAACCCACAAGAAGGGTTGATATCTTTATTTCCATTTTGTAAATGTGAATCTGAGACATAGGGAGATTAATTGACTTTTTCCTGGCCACACGCATAATGAGAGTCAGAGTCAGAACATGAATTAGGAATCCTTGGCTTCCAACCCCAATGTAATCTATTAGCACTGGATCATTGCCATTTTCTTACAAAATAAACTCCTGTATAATATTATTTATTCTATCAGTAAAACATGGGTATTATGTCAATTACTATCTTTCATAATCTTATTGATTTCTAAAATTTTGATTGGATGAATGTGGTTCCCTTTTTAGGGAATATATGATTTGTCCTTAATTGCAGATATTGCAAGGGATCTTCCTCTTCAAACATATGAAGTGTAAATGACTATGAAATGAGAGTGATTTCCTGTTTATAAAATATAACCTTTATAAAACACATAGAAATATTTTCATCCTGCAAAGTTGCTTATAAATATGAGTACATGAAGATCTATTTGAATTAGCGGACTGGAAATACATATATTCTTCGACAAGTGGCAGGTCCTTAACACTTGAAAGGACAGTGTAACAGGCTTTCTGGGTACATGCTGGCCTGGCTAGTGTGCAGAACCTGCAATCCAATCTAAATTCAGTGAATTCCTCCTTTCTTAGACTGTGGATTTACCTACGTCAGTTAATAATGACAGTTTTCATTGACTACATAAGGCTGAGACTACTAGAGTGTCAAAAATGGGTACAGCCATACTACTGAGTTACCTTTTCCTTTTTCAAACTTACATTTGCTCAGAAGCAGAACAGAAAATATAGAGTTCTAGTTCTCTTCTGAAATATGGAGTTCTATTTCTCTTCTTGCCCTATATTTCTTCATAGGAGACCTAAATTTATTTGTGATATTCTTTTGCTTCTAGTAAGTTGCAGAAATGGAAGAAGTTCTTTCTTATTTTAGTATACCACTGGAAATAATATATAATTTCTACATTTAAAAATTTTTTAAATTTAATACTCCTGTTATCAATTTTCCAGAGTAGTATTAGAACAATGAGACATATTATCAGAATTGACTACATGGTCTGTTGTAATATCTGTGGTAACTATATCATAATGGTGAGAAGTATGGGAAAAAATCATAAAGGAAGAGTGTGAATACAATAAAGGTAAGGTGAGTTGGGAAAATATAGTAACTGAGAACAATTTTAAATGACAAAAATGGAAATTAAGGTTAACAGTTGTTTCATAACCAGATTTATCTTGCTAGCTTCTTATAAAATAAAACAGCTGACCTGAATGTAAAGAAAATTTTTAATTCACCAGCTATTTCCATTTATCCCTTAAATCATCCTTTCCAAATTATAGTGGACTGTAACCTTAAACTCTTTCGCAAAGGATATGGCCCACACAAACTTGCTTTAGGTTATGGTAACTCCATTTTACCATTTCTTGCCAAGTGAATTTTGGAAACAATGTTATGTCAACTAACTGTAAGTTGCAGGAGTTACCACTTCTTACTATATTGTAAAACTCTCTAGAGCAAGTCATGACAGAGATGAACATCTGTGTCTTCTACTTTAATATGACATAAAACAAGACAAATTAAGGAATAAAAAGCACATCAGTGAATTACAGAGTATTCAAAGGCACAGTAGGTATGAGGTTAGGCCAAAGAAGAACAAGTTTTCAAGTAAAATAATATAGCATAACAACATGCTCAATATATACATATATGCATATATATGTATATGCAGTTTTTTAAGAAGCTCCAAATAAGACCTACTTTCTCATAGTACTTGATCTCGTAGTCCAGTATGGCTCCATTGGAAAAAGCAGGTGCTTGCCATGATAGGGCAATGCTATTTTGGGACGCCCAGTCCTTCCTTACCATACCTATCAGGGAAGGTGCTGAAAGGAAAGAAAATAACTAAGAATTAATTGGCAGGAATCATTCTCCATAATCCTTTAATACTTTGTCTTCCAAGGAAAACATAAGTCTTGTTGAATAGGACATCAGTTGTTGATGTCAGATTAATAAAACAGCCTTAAGATCTACTCTATTCAATCCAAATAAAGTATTAAAATATATGTATAAACACTACTAGGGAACATAGGAAAAACTCAAATAGTCCAAAAATAAGGGTCAGAACTCACCATCTTGGTTTTATTAGAGGAGGACATTTTTCTTTAAACTGGCTTTGGTTTTGAGCTATGACATGAAGTATAATACACTTGGCTCCTATATTTTATCTAAGCTTAATCTGCTATAGAAAAATCCTCTCCAGTTACAAGATCTTCAAACTTTGTTCTTTACAAAGTTTCAGTACTTTAAAGAAGTTTACATCACAAACTTCTTAACTACATCAAATTATTGCTTATTAATGTGAGGATTATTTCTTTTGCATGGTTTCTGTGACAGTTGCATAAAATTGAAATATTTAACTTCTGAAGTTTATTTTCAGAATCATATCTTTTTTCCTATATAACATTGTTTTAACAATCCAATTGTAACCTAAAGTAATCTTATGTTAGGGGGCGGAGTCAAGATGGCGGCGTAGGCAGACTCTGAACTCACTTCCTCCCGTGGACACAGCCAATTTACAACTACTCGTGGGAAAAATTACCCCTGAGACAGAACTGAAAACTGGATAAGAGGAACTCCTGCAACAACGGACAATCCTAACTGGGGTAGAAGAGGCAGAGACTCCCTTCTGGAGAGGAAAAACGCC